CCTACCAGCCATTTGGAAACCCGCCCTCATTAGCAACCGAGTACCTAACATGAAGAATGACACCAGACCCACACCCACGAGGGCCACACAAGATGCTACCACCACATTTCCACGTAGAAAGCAGACTCACACCCACACAGATGATAAGACACAACCACGGACCAGAAGCCGTACCGGAGCTACATCACTACGCACTTCAAACCCCTACGACTCATACATGAAGCGAACGGACGCCCGCCATGAAGATGTGGCACGACCACGAACGTGAAGCCAAACAACAGGATCACAGCTCACCAGCTCAAATCCCCCAGCAACTAAGACTAACCTGAGCACAACCAAGCCCCCACCTGAACAGAACACACCCCCAACCAATCAGAACACAGCCAACCCCCTACCAATCAGAACACAGCCAAACCCCCAACCAATGAGAACACACCCCCACCCAATCAGAACACAACCAAGTCCCCACCCAATCAAGTCACACCCCCACTAGCAGTTAAAAGGAAGAAGCAGCTGCAAGCTCACATTACTCCAAGCACAAAGCCGAAGACACAAGCCTGAAGATTACGAATGAGATTTCGTCAAAATGTTGCCGAGATACTTCCAATTTTACGCGGGAGAAAACCTGAATAACCAAAGATCCACATATATGTGTGTGTGTGTGTGTGTGTGTGTGTGCGTGTGTGTTTGTTTGTGTGTGTGTGTGTATATGGTATTCAACTTTGTTCGGGTATTTTCCCACGTCATTATAGTTGTGCTTTTAAAGTTGTATTGTGTTCCTTGAACACAATACAGAAGCCTGATGATGGCAGATGAGATTCTGCCGAAACGTTGCTACAACTTTAAAAGCACAACTATAATGACGTGGGAAAATACCCGAACAAAGCTGAATACCATACATGTAAGTATCTGCGAAAACTTAAGAAAACAAACACACACACACACACAGACACACATATGTATGTATGTATGTATATTGGGTCTTATTCAGTACAAAGTTCTACCATCCTTTAAAAAATGTATCACTTTTCACATTTTTAAAGAAAAATCATCATCATCATCATCATCATCAAGTTGTAAAACTTAAAATAACAGGATCTGGTAGCATATGGGGTTTTTCAAGTACAAGGGATAATCAAGAGAAATGTATTTCCTTTAAATCAAGAATACGAATTAATGGCATTTACCTGATTAAAGGTTTTGAATACGAATTCTCTGAATATAGCATCTCTTTCAGTGAGCTCAGTCCAGCCAGCAGCTTTAAGATCATATAAAGCTTGGTTCCTTTCTTCAGTGCTCAACCAGCTAGATTGTGAAGACTATGATGGCAAAGAAAGAAGAAAAATGCACCATAAACCTATGTTAACCATACAGAGGCTTATTAGATTAAAAAGACCACATTGCATTAATTATTTGCAATCATACTGGTTGTGTCTTCACAAATAGAATTGTACAGATTGATTCTGCTCCTTCCCCTAAAGTCATATATGGATTCATTCTATTTAGAGTATAAAGTTAAGTAGCATCTAAATTAAAACATCTTAGGCAGCATCTTAGGTAGAAAACAAACATCATTGATACTTGCATTTGAGTAAACATGGTACGTGGTAACTTTGCATTGTTCTAGAGCAGAAGAGGTAGGAACAAATGCTGCTATATAAAATTAATAAACATAATCCACTAAAATTGAAAATACTTTTATATTATGTCATACAGGAGAAAAACATGCTCTTAATTCTTTTCCACTGAAATCTGGACATCCAATAACAAATAAAAATTTGACAGACCTCTGAAATTTGCAAAACTAATTTTTTGAGGGAAACCCACCCTAAAGGAGATCTCCCAAAGCCCCTTAAGGATTCTATATTACGAAAGTTTGAAACTCTGAGAGATAATTCTGGAAAAAGAACAAAGAGATTAAATTACTAGAAAGGAAGAATAGGTTTGTAAAAAGTTAAAAAGATAACATTGTCTGGAGAGGTGATTTCTTGGTTCAGGTTCCAGTGGGACAAAAGTGAAAAATATTTTTGGAATGAGAAAATAATCTTACACATAATGCAGAATACTCTGATAAACACATACCGTCATATTATATTTTAGGTAAGCAAAAACTTTTAAAACCTGGCTGACTATTTCAGCTATATGGATGGTTTTACATCACCTGCATGTTAGAAGCAGATTTACAAATATTTCTCTCTTGGTAGAGAGAGAACTTTACCACATTCTGGAATATCCAATCTCTGCAGCTTGACATCACCTGCTGACTGTAACTCTCCAATTGTAAAGCATAGTAACACAGCATAAAATCTAAAAAACGATGTTTCCTTTGCGTGTTTTTAAATTCAAGTTTTTCTGCCCCTTCTCTAGCGACTATTGTAGGTGAATCCACATAGCTATCTATAGGCAACTGTTTTCCGATTGGACAGGCTACCCATCTTCCTGCTTTATTTCTCATTTTTCTCCCAGTTTGGAGATATCGATAAATTTAAACTTTTTTAAACCAGATGCAATGAACAATGCATTTACAATATAACTGCCAGGATTTTGTTCAACAATATTAAGAATTCCACAGAACTGGTCCAAGCGCTCTCTTAACACTCCCTTCACATCTTTTAATAAGTAACCTTTTATTGTATCAATGCAGAAGGTGAAACAAACAAAATGTTAAAAAGGTATGATGTTTATGTAGTTACTTACTAAGCACATCTAAATTATATTAAAGTAACCAAAATATCTTTACAATCCCCAAGTTATGTCACAACTTTTGAGCACCCCTAGTGTTTGGAAATTGGAAGTTGAAAAATTGGACACACCCTGGTTATATTCTTCATTAACAAGAACGATGATCACAATCGCATACACTTATCCAAATCCTTACATCTGGATGATCCACAAGACACATTTACTGAGGTTAGAATGATGAACAAAGTTTGTGCTTTTTAGGTGGCATTCCAATATAATGCCTCTTCATATTTCTATATAATCGTAGATTTTCTGTTTTCCAGAAACCTGGTGCTAAAACAGCAGATGTTTGGTCTAAGTGTGAAAACCATGAATGTTACCAACACATAACATTTGAAAGAAAAATATAGGCAGGCTGAACTGCCATTTTTTTTTCTCAGCTACTGGATAGCTGGAAAGGAGTGATGCCTGAAAGCATTATTTGTAATCCTTGGCAAAAAACATTTGCAAAGAATAATTTATTGGCAAATAAATTATCCTTGCCAGTCATGCAGGATAAAAACAATGATTATAAAAAGACATGTATATCTTCAGAGATGCTTTGCACATGTGGTGGAATTAAGGAGTAGCAGAATTCACAGTCTGCAATTCAACAGAGAAAGAGAGAGAGTTTACTTCTCTCTCTTGTTACTGCTGGAGTTTACTTCTGGGTGGAAATAAATAAAACTGTAATGTTAGAAACCAAGAAAAAACAAATCTAAGTTCCTAAGTTACAGAAGAATCTTTTATTTTGAACTGGCTTTTGAAGTCAAACTAAACATTTTGGGAGGGGAAATTAGGTTATTTAATGAAGTTAAAAATAAAATGATAAAACAAACTAGAATTCATATTCAGCCGTGAATTTAGAAATGATTTAAGAAGAATGCCTGGAGTATTTAGATTTAATATGTATTCTAATTTGTTTTTAACATCTCATTTTACATAATTCACTACCTTCTATTTCTACAGTTTATAAACACTAAACAGTAAATAAACTTCCCATCAGTCAATTTTCTCAAAGGAAAATACTAACAGCACTTCTTTAGCACAATCTGGCATTCAAACAAATTAAACATTTCAAATAAATCAGATTAAACATCACAAATCTCTGAAATTCAATTGAAACTTCAGACATATATGTAAAGTGGACAATTTTAGAAACTCCAATCCTATGAATTTGAATAATTACATTTGTTATACACAAACAACATTTTGTCCACTAGGTGGCACTATATTTCAAATGTAAGTTCTTATTCAAGGTGAGATAGAATTTAAACTTTCTAAACAAGAAATAATAGAAATGTTAAATTATATAAACAAAAATTAGGAATAATCATATGGTAAATAATATAATAAAGAAAGCAGCAGTTAACATAATTATATATCAAGTAAATTCTTTATTTAACCTTACTGAAAAGACACTTATATAATTAATAATATTTTTACTGATTATGTAATGTCGATATCCCACATTTATATTTGCAATTATTATTTACTGATGGATGGAAATTCAGCATGAATCAATTTAAAAAGATAAATTTCACGAGTTACCAAGATACAATCGAAAAGCTTCTTCATATTTGCAAAGTTAAAAGAATCAATTATTTTTACATGATTAAAATATTATAGAATAAAATACATGATGAAAACATGTACAGTAATACTTTACTATTAAACAAATTAATTGCATATTAAAAGGTGAACAATACAGTAATAATCAACTAGCTTAAAGTCTGAAAATGACTAATGAATTATTTCTATTTTTTAATAATTAGTATATAACATAAATACCGTTAATATTAGATGTTGCTGAAATACTAGCATTTATTTTAAGAAAATAATGCCTATTTATTAAGGAACAAAGTATTGGGGCATCGGGTCTTTTTGTAGTTTGACTGATTTTAACATATAGCTAGTCTTCAACTCAAGACTGTGATAAGAGTTTGCCCATTAATCACATACTGTGACAACTGTTAAGTGAAGCTCCATGATCACCTCACTTATGAAGCCCCCATCCCTATTCTGTCATTAAACAAGTGTGCAGGTTGTTAAGCAGAGCATGGGGTGCCTCAGAGGCAACCTGGGAAGTCTAGCCCAGTCCGTGCCACAGGCCTCCCAAAGCCTCTCCACCTTGAGGCACACATGCTTCGTTTCCTGCCTCTCTTGAGACTCTGCAGGCCTTGAGCTTGCCTCCCATATCCCACAGGGCCTCACGTCCATCTCCTCTCTTTTTGAAGAGCTCTGGAGCTCAGGTTAAGGAAAGTGGACAGGCTGCTTCTTGCTGAGCAGGGTGGCACAATCTGGAAGCAGACACACTGAATTGTGGCCACTAGGAAAATGGCATCCGATTCCAGAATGTTTCCCTGACATGAACAACTTGCCTCCAGAAGTTGTGAACGCTCCAATACTGGAAGTTTTTGAGAAGAAATTGGACAACCATTTGTTTGAAACGGTAGAGGGTTTCCTGCCTAAACAGGGGTTGGACTAGAAGACCTCCAAGGTCCCTTCCAACTCTTGTTATTCTATTCTATGAGCATTCTGCAGCATGGTGGAATGCTGTGAGGCTTCATTAGGGAAGCAAAACAAGTTGTTCTGCAGCTTGCTCCCTTTCCCTAACTCTAACTCCAGTGCTCTTAGAAAAGTGAGGACGACCAAGTGGAGGTCAGTGGTGGAAGGGAATTAAGTAGTTGGTCATAAGGGGACTCTGCAGCAGCTGTAACTTCAGGACTGGATTCTAAGCAGCTTTTTTGGGGGGGGTGGAGTGGGATCTACCATATGTTCATTAAGCAACCAATCATAAGTAGAGGACTATTTGTAGTCCGTGTTTTTCCTGAATATAAATAATATCACACAATATCACTTTCAATAAAGGGTAAAAACCAGACAAAATAATAAATTGTTAAGAATGTAGAGATAATTTGGAAAGGAAGATATGTCCATTATCTTTTTTAAATTTTTCCAGACATATCGTCTGCATGCCATTTAATATTAACTACTAATTCTACATGAGTAACCGATAATGGAGATAGAATCGATTGGCCTATGGAGCTATTTTACTTTTCTTGGATGGTTTCAAATGTCTACTTTTATTTACTTACCATCTTTAACCAGTTATGTGATGCAATCACAGATCATGGGTCATATATGGCTTTTTGTTAATTGTTGACATTTCAATGTCCACTCACCATTCCTTTTTTATGTTGTAATTTCCACTTCCTCTTTAGCAATTCTCTCCTGGAAAACCATGTCAAACTATTGGGCTCTATGCTTATTTTGAGTCTATGCTTATTTGGAAGTTTTCTCCTACATATTTTTAGAAGTCGGTATATTTTGCAAAATGTGAAATAAAAAAGCAGTATTTCCTTTTTAAGAATAACCTGGTATAAAATATAGAGCAAAATCAAATTTTCAGTTTGAAATATGTAACTTAGATTAACAGATCAAATAATCCATAAATCTTATTAGATTTCAGAACCACCAATTGCAAGTCTTAGACTCACACTCTGAGAATATATTTAAGAAAATGTATTAGAGATTCTTGGGTTTGTACGCTAGCTATTATGTACTATTATTAATAGCTTCCTACATTGTCATTACT